TTTTCCACCAGCTCTACTTCGTTGTCTCCAATATTGATATTTCCGCTAGGTACTAGGTTTGTCATGAATTTTGTATTGGAGATGTTTATTTTAAGACCCACCCTGGCACACACTAACTGAAGTTCATGTAGCGTTGTATATATCTCCTTGAGGTTGTCCGAGAACAAAACTATGTCGTCTGTAAATTTCAAATTTGTTAATCTTTTACCGTCAATGTTCAGGCTTTTTTCTTCCAGTTAAGTTCTTTACAAGTATATTCTAGTACTGCGGTAAACAGTTTAGGCGATAAGGTATCACCCTGTCGGACTCCTCTGCCGATTGGGATATGATCCGTCTTTTCATGTAGTTTCACCGACATAGTTGCGGTTTTGTATGTATTGTAAATTAACTTTGTATATCGGTAGTCAATGCGGCATGCTTGTAGTGCTTCCAGGATTTTGTCAAATTCTACCATGTCAAAGGCTTTATGGAAATCTACAAAACCCAGAACGAGTGGTCAATTGTATTCCCGCTTGCTCTATTGGCTGGTAGAAATCAAGTTTTTTCTCAAGATGATTCGTTGCCATTCTTATAAAGAGTTTGTATTGGTGACTAAGAAGACTTATAGGTCTGTAGTTTTCTAATTCATGGGGATCTCCGTTTTTGTACAATTAGAATTACCTTAGCATTGTGCCATTTGTCGGGTATATTACTGTCCAAAAGTCACATATTAAAAAGGTTTTTTATTTTCCTAAGTAGGCAAGTGCCTTTGATTTTGATTGCATCAGTAACTACACAATCTTTACCTGGAGATTTGTTATTCTTAGCTTTTCTTAGGGCTAGTTTTATTTCGTCCATTGTGATTTCCGGTTGTAGTTCTGATCCTTGGTTGACAATGTCCTGTTTCTTTGTTAACATTTCTGGTACTTGATCTTCTCTGCTCTTTGCTTTGTGTTGGCTTGTGTACAGCAATTTGTAGAAGTTTTCAACAAATCTAAGGGTTTCCTCTCTGTTGGTTGTAAGATGACCATTTCAATCTTTAAACTTTATTGTCTGCCTTGTCCCCGTTCTTAGTCTTTTTCTCAATACTTTCATATTTCTATTGTTCTCAATGATATGTTCAAAGTCGTTTATATTATTTTCTGTTTTAAGACTACTAAGTATGTCAAAAATACATTGCTGAAAACATTCTACATCTGATGGTTTCATCCATGGTTTTGATTTGATCTTTTTTTTAATCATCTCATACCTCTCCTTTTTTAAGCTTATTTATATTTTACCTCGTACCATTCTATGATCGCTACTGGTAACAAATCTGTTTGGAACCGTGATGTCTTTAACGGTGTGTTTTTGAAAGAATGAATTGACGTTAAGCAGTAGGTACAGTACATATTGTTGGTGTGTAATGCCAGTTCGCCTCCTCGTGGTGCCTCCTGGGTAACGCTAAATGATCTATCAATTTTGGATGCCAAACTAGCCCCTGAACTCTCCTCAGTTCGATAAAGAAAGGTAAGAAAAGGAATCTCTATATAGAAGTATGGGAAATTAGAAACCCTTCGCATATGCCAAATAAACAGAGAGAATTTGTAGATCAAAATTTGAATTTCTGTCAAAACTACTAATTGAAAATAACGTTGACGTCAAAGTTCTTTAAGAAACTCACTCACCATCAGACACCGAGCTTCTTGTAGTGGTAACATTCCGAGATATAGCATAACTAGAGCTACTAGCATCAATATTTTCGGCACTGCAACTTATGTGTATTACAATATAAAAAATGTCAACAACTATCAAGAACATCTATAAACCACCAGTAACTTAATGGCCAATAAATGTAATCAAAGTTCTGAGCAACCAACCTATATTTAACATTGAGAACTTTAACAGTCACCATAATAAATGGTGACATGAAATCAATGATGAAAATGGGGAAGCCAAAGGCTGAAGAGATGCCAACATCCACCTTATTCATGGTCTAAACTAAATCATAAAACTACTTTATTTTCCTGAAGACTGCCCAAAGGCTACAACTTAGATCTTTGTTGGGTTTCGAGTAACTCACAGATGTACTCCCAAGCTCCCAAACCGTACTCTCTATAGTTTCCCTAATAGACAACATCAACCTACCATTATCGAAATATTCATACAAATTCCTATCGTTGAATCCACAAACATTGAATTTTAACAAAGCAAACTGGCCCGAATACACCAAAGGGCAACAATGATCACCATTTTTAAGGAATGGCTACCTTTATTGCCAAAAACATATCCTTCGTTTTCGAGATTTTCGAAAGCAGTACATCCCATGCTGGACAAAAAAAGTCGAAACTATATCATGAGTTTTTAAAATCAAAGGAATTTCGAAATTTAAGACAATTTACTGAAGTCTCTGGACTCAATTAGACTTAATAAATGAAAGTCTACTGTACAACATATCGATTTCTCCCATTTGAGTCGGAAGGCATGGGAACTGATTCGCAAACTGGGCGAAGCATGTAGACCAGAACACAAAAATAAATCAACAATTAAGCCAAATTCAAAATAATTGAGAACTCCTGAGCTCCTTCTGAGAAAACTTATACATCAACTGCAAGAAGAGCTCTTAAATAACCTAAAGTAAATACTTCAGCAACATTGGAATACTAAACCAAGCACTTAACCAAGCCAAAACACGAAAAACAGGTGGCTTTAATGGAATGTTTTCTAAATTTATAGTCCACACCGGTACAAAAAGAGACATTATGTTTACAGTTGTTCTAGCTCCAGAATTCAAAAGAACAAAAATTATCATAATCCAGAAGCCTGTAAGTAAGCCAGTGACAAAGCTGCCTGAAAGTTATTGAGCTATTGCCTTACTTTTATAAGATCCTGGAACGATTCTTATATAACAGAATATGTAACACTATTGAGGTTGCTGTACCAACTGCCAACCAAAAAATTACCAAACAAAAAAAGGAAAAAATCCACGGCGCTTTATGACATTTCTGAGGAACAAAACTTCGTATGTGCAAGTGGCCGCCTTATACGCGGTTATATATGGCTCTTAATAAATATAATATAATATATAATAATAAATATAATATATCATATTAAAATGACGACTCTTATGGCAGCAATAAAAATTAATAATGTGAAGATTTAATGTCATTGTCAAAAGCTAAATAAAATCCACTTGTTTATAAAGGCATGATAATATAAATTTATAAACATTAGTTGTAGAATATTTTAATCATTTTTTTTATTAAACTCTATTCTATAGTTAGCTAATGCATAACAGCTGAATATCACCAATACACAGTTTCTATAAACGTATACCAAAGAAAAAATTTGACAATGTAAAAGAATAATCTATTCCCTTATACCAATAAATTTTATTAAATTTCCCAACATTCTACTTCCACTTTTAAACCCAGCAGAAGGCTTCTTTGTATATTTTTAATTTATGTTCCCCGCCGATTCAATTTTTTACCGAATTCAACCTAAAAGTAATATTTTTTAATAATTGCGGTTGCGGTCTGTAAGCCAGGAAAAAAAATTAAAAACCGCTTATTCTCGCAAAGAGAGAATTATTTTTACCTGGCAGGATTTACAATTCTAATTTCTTAATAAATCTTTCCTGACCTAAATATGTAAGAAACTCCAGATACCCTGCGACAGACAGTATTTTAAAAGAATGAACAATCTACCGTGCTCTGCTACTACTGCTGCACTTGTTTTATTAGATTTATTGTATCGAAGTTGCTTCCAGCGCCAAAACTTTTTTAAAAGTATGATGTATAAGTAGAAACGAAGTATTTTAAAAACAGATCCTGGATGGCATAAGTTGGAATGTAGAGACACGAGTTCAATAAAACTTTAACGTTTATACAATTGTTCGTAACTAAATAATAATAAAGTAAAACGATCGATTAAAAAATTAGATGAGAAACTTTTACTACCAAATAGGACTGAAATATACAGAGTGAGCTTGTATGGAACACCTCTATTATCTCGGAAACAGCTTGCACGATTTTTGTGAATTTGGGTGTCTAAGGGTCTTGTCAGGCGTCCAATATTATGGTGGTATTAACCCATTGCCAGTCTAACCGATTTTTGGTGCGTGTGCTCGTACTACTTCAACGCGGTGGGGATATACAGTTTCCGCCGGTTGAAATTTCGAACTGTGGCAGTATTGTCACATCACAGTGTATTGCTAAAGAATTCTTTATAAAGCAATATACCTTAGTATTGTGGGTAATAGACAAGAGATAGTAAGAACAAAAACCACGTGCACATAACTGAAAATTATTATATATTTACTTTATTATTACTCTATTAATTTATTCTATTTTCTATAAAATCTATCTATAAAATGTTAGAAGACCAGAAAGTAAGAATCTCTCTTGAAAAATGCAACATAACAGTTAAAATATTACGGACATGTCACTAGGTCAGATATAGACAGTATGTCGAGACTCTTTATTTAAAGTAAGGTAGAAGGACGGAAACTACGAGAAAGTACCAAACAAAAACACCAAAACCAAACCACAAACAAAATTAGTATGATTGAAAATATTCTAACGTTCGCTCCTGGTTTAAAAAACAATTGGAGAATTGAAAAACGTCAACTTTTTGACAAGTAACCAGAGGCGGAGCTTTTAATATTTATTAATTAAATTGCGAAACTATAATTTTAGGATTTATTTAATTTATTCTTTAAAATGAGCTTAAACTTCAATAAAATTAATATGGTAAAATAAGTATTTTCAATACCTTCAAACGAGGTATCACTTGCCATAAGGTTCTATTTAAAATTGTCTGTCACAGTGGCGCTGTAGACTCATCTGTCACTATTATTTCACTTGTTATGACTGGTTAAGAAGCCTGTGTCTGTTTATTATAACCAATCTTCCTTTAAAGTTCACTATTATAACCATTCAAAAGATACGAGGGGAGGGGGGAATGGATTTTTTGACTAGCATTGTATAATAGTTTTATTCATTTTATGTTTGTATATATTCATACTGTCATTTTTTTTCTAGATGATGTTGCAATTATTCATGGCCGCCCAGGAGCAGTCTACCTAGAGCCTAACGTATCTTCATTTTATTTAGACGAGCACGGAAATTTCTACAGCAAAAAAACCGAAAGCGTTTACCCTAGGAAAGAACATCCTTACTGTATCGAACATGCGACGAAAAACGGAATAAACTACGGCCATAAATATTTCGGCTTCTTAGTGGGCAAAAATCCACCGATGGCCTCTAAATTTTATTGGAACAGAGCAGCAATGATATTTTCTGGGATTTGCTTGATCCTCACTATTCTTTTTTATGTAATATCAAGAGAAACTAAAAAGATTTTTGGGAAGATTTTAGTTTGCTTTTGTTTTTCGTTATTGTTTCTTTACTCCTTTCTTGTGTATCATACATTTAATATGAATTTGCACTACAAGCCAACAAAAACAACTTGTAAAGTCATTGGTAAGTTATACATATTTTTTAATATTTTATTTCTGAATTTGTGACATTATGAATTCTTAAACCTGATAGAAATAAAAGTTTGTCTTCCCGCGATTTTCATTTTACACAGGCTTTTGTCTTACAGTGAGAATAATTTGGTAATATCTAGCTTATAAAAAGAACTATCGAAGGATTGTAGTTATTTTTTCTTTTATTGTACTCGTAATCGATTTGTAAAAAACATGTTTGTGTTTTTTTTTTAAATCTTCGTCTATTTCTTTTAAATAGTCGTAAAGTAAAATGCTTAGGTATGGTATACGTCTTTATTATCACCATCTTTGGCTCGACCATCCGTTGTCGATCCTGGTCTTCTCTAAGATTAGTCGCCATTCTGTTCGGTTTTTCTGATCTCTAGTATCCCTAAGCCGGTCTTAACTCCATATAACCACCTAATTCGCGGTCGGCTGCTGCATCTTCTTGCTCCGGACCAATTGCTGTGTTTTAATAAACGTTACGACATTTGGTTCATTATAAAGCTGGTATAATTTAAAATTAAATCTTTGACGCCACTGCCCTTGATTGTTTATAGCTCCAAATATTTTGCGGAGAATCTTACGCTCAAATATTCTCAGAAGTCTTTCATCCTTTTGCGGCAATTTTGAGTCAATGTTTCCGCCCCGGATGCAAGAACCGGCCTTAACATTGTATTGTATATAATAATTTTAGTTTTTCTTTGGATATTTCTTGAGTGGAATTGTTATTGGAGTCCATAGTATTCCATATTTGTGGGCTTTATTCGTCTTTTAATTTCTTTGCTTATTTCATTGGTAGTAGTCACTAGAGAGTCAAGTTTTGTGAAGCTGTCTACACGTTCAAAAATATGACTCCCAAATGATGTTTCCCGTTCCTTATTTGCTATAGAATCCTTAGTAACCAACATGTATTTGGTTTTGTCTTCGTTGATGACTAGACCTACCTGTTTCGCTGCCGTTTTCAATTCTAGGAAATATTGCTCAACAGCTCGCTTGCTATTAGTCAGCCCCATTATGTCAATGTCATCAGCGTATCCCAGGACTTGTATTGGTCTGGTGTAAATAGTACCGCTCTCTTTAATTCGTGTGTCTCGGAATGCCTTTTCCAAGGCAATGTTAAATAGGAGGCGAGCCAGGGCATCCCTTTGTCGGAGTAAATCCTGTATCTCAAAGGATCGAGGAATTTCTTTCTATATTCTAACGCTGGCTTTTAAGTTAGATATTGTCATTTTCGTTAATTGAATAAGATTTTCTGGTATACCAAACTCAGGCATTGATTGGTATAGTACTGTTCTCTTGACACTGTCGTTTACAGCGTTGAAGTTGACGAATAGGTGATGGTTTTCAATGTTAAATTCTAATGTTTTTCTGAGGGTCTGTCTTATTTATTATCTGGTAAATTGTTGATTTTTTCTGGAATAAATCCGTCCTGGTATTTTCCAAATATGCTAACTGTGTAAAGTTGTAACCTTTGTAATTGTCACACTAAAGCTGATCATCTTTTGTATGTAACAAGAATGATCTCATTTAAACAGACAAAAAGTAAAAGTTATGCAGTCCTTGTAGCAGGGTGTCACCACTATTCTTGAAAGCTCACTATTCTTGGCTTACCTCTTAACTCTTAACTCTTATTCTTAACTCTTTACTCATTTTGTTTACATTTCTGTAGAACTTTCTTGTTTCGTTTTTGATTTCATATCCTCATGTCTTCAAATTGCCTTTTTCTTCTTCTATGTAATCTTTTTTCTTTCTTCCTTAGGTTCCTAGCTTGATTTGTTATTAGGTATGCTCTATTTTTGTTACGTGTTGCCTTTCGACACTCCTCGTCAAAGCATTAGTTTTGTCTAACTGGTTTGGTTTTCCCCAATATTTTCTATGCGTTCTCAGTTATTATGTTTTTACATTTTTTCACAATTCCTCCACATTTTCTCCTGTTTTCAGGCTCTCTTTTTCATCATCCATTTGTTTCCTATAGTCTCTAGCAACGGTTTCAATACGCAGATTATCAACATTAATTCTATGTTATTTCATATGTTTATCCTTCTTAAAGTTTGAATCCCGGTAGCTTCTGACATTCATGAATTCAGAAAAATGCCTTGCATCTATTAGGATGTGATCTATCTGGTTAAAGGTTTCGTTGTCAGACGATTTCCATGTTTCTTTATCTATTATTGTATGGCGAAATCTTGTTCCTTCTAATATTATGTTTTTGGTGCTTGCAAAGATTATTAGTCTCAACCTGTTATCATTTGATTCGTTAGATTCTATATTTGGCTGGAAAAATTGCTTTTGCCAATTTTGGCATTAAGATGTCCAGCAATTATTTACACGTCTTGACGTAGACATCGATCACATTCTCTTTTTAAGGTGTCGTAGAATCTTTTTCGTCGTCTTCTGTTTCTTCCGTGGGTGCGTGTACACTAAGTTAAAGAATTTTCCTTTAAGAGGTAGATAAAATATTCTATTGTTTATGGGTTTTAAGTTAAGGACTAATTGCTTTACTTTTTTACTGACTAGAAAACTACTGACAAATGCATGTCGGGTGTTATGTCGACATCGGCTTTTGTTTTATCCAATTCTTGTGATAGCAATTTAAGAGCGCCTGGGTCAAAGGGTTCGTACGTTCCATGTGCAGAAGCAGATCGGCAAATCGTTATTCCTTTGTAGTTTTCCTAACAGTACAGCTTTTTCTCTTTGTGCTTTTATAACAATAAGTTTTTTAAGAAAAGAGGTCGTTAAGCATTTGCTTAATTCACTAATCTTCGAAGGAACATTTTCCACTGGAGTTGGTTACCACAATCTTCCACAGAGTTGTTCAGGTTACCGGGGTTCACCGTGTGAGAGTCGGAATTGAGTAGGCTACGATATACGTCTTAAAGCTTTTAATATGTACGTTAATAAAATAGGTTCATGGAATAATATTCCTAGACCCCATACAGTCTTGATTATACGTGTGAGCCATTAATCAAACTGGTTGTACATTTTATGCTTGATTTAATACACTTTATTATCGGAATACCTGCTCATTTGTGGAACTTTCTGGAAAATTACTTGTTATGTTTGTTATATCTTAAAGTCGAAATTTAATAGAATCATCGAAAGTTTTTATTTTCATATCATAGACTAACAATCGAATTTCGAGTATTTTTGCTTATTTGAAGTGTCATAAGTATTAATAGTTGTGTCTAATTTTTGATATCTGTTTCTGTATTGAAAAATTTACCGTATTCACCATGAGGTGATTAGCGGAAATACAGTGTAAGTATAGTAGCGGTAATATATACAGTGATAAGTGCTTTACCATCCGGCTTTTTAACGTAAGAGATAGAAAACACAGTTACCTTGTGAAATAAAAAGAGATAAAACTCGTAGAGGTGGGAAATAATCGATAGAAACCTATAATTTACATTACATTGCATTACCACCATCGACAGTCTCACACCTTTAGACGTTAGACGTGGCTATTTGACTTCAGTCATAATTATACGGATACCCTCAAAAATATTTTATTTTAATAATTTCTGATGTTAGAATAAATACTTGACGAGAAAATTGGGGTTCAATTCCACACCAAGGATAAATTTTTTTTGTTATCAAATATGATACATATTAGGTAACAAATTTTCGAAAAACTCATTATTTACAATTTATTTTTATTCCAATGTTATAAAACGGAAATACAAAATATTCAAATTCAATTCATACAGTCTTTAGTTGTGAATGCAAAATAATCCGGTGAAGACTGTTTATATCAAATCCATCACTAAATTCTCAATGTTAATATCAATTCCTCTGTACAGATAATGATTTTCAAAACAATTGACAACATTGGAATGGATGCGCGCAAAGCGAAGCTTTTAAGCCATCAAATAATAACATATCGAGAAGTGCTTTTGCTTTATCTAAATTAAAAAATGGAAATATGTCACACATACGACGTCAAACTGTCAAACATAATAATTATGACCGAGGTGATTTAGATCGAAGGTAACGTCTAAAGGTGTGAGACTATCGATAGTCGTAATGTAATGTAATGTAAATTATAGGTTTCTATCGATTATTTCCCACCTCTACGAGTTTCATCTCCTTTTATTTCACAAGGTAACTGTGTTTTCTATCTCTTACGTTAAAAAGCCGGGTGATATGGCACTCACCACTGTATAGTAGAACGCTATAGTAGAACGAAGATTTTGGTGTTTTGATAGTTCTGCTTTAAGACATAGTGCGGCAGCTCATTTGGTTTAAGTCTTTTTTCTCCATTTTTATCTTTGCTGTCACGATCCTTTCTGATAAATGTATTGACACTTTCTCACGCGATTTTGTTATATTTGTTGTATACGTACGTCTACTTCTTCTCTTTTGCTACTTCACTGTAGAATATATTGTAAAACTTGTCTGTAAAATACTTTCTCTAGAATGAGCCTCCGTTAATTTTTAAAATGTTTTTTTATGTCTCCTGAAATATTCTGTTTTTGCGACTTACGGGATTTTCTCTCATTACGGGGACGTTAATGTATGTACGCATTTTAAGCCGCTCATAGTTTTAAATAAAAATATCTAATTTTTGTTCTTTTAGGGTTTTTTATCATATATCTTGTCTTTTCTTGCTTCTTTTGGCTACAAGTATTGTGTTACGATATTTATTGTAAATTGGGGTAAGTTAATTTTTTTAGATTTTTTTTTGTATATATGTATGTTTTATATTGAATATTTTAATATTACTATGATCTAACTATAACTAGAGTGTTCGTGTTTCGAGCATGTTCTGGTCTTAAAATGACAAACCTGGCCTCTCTATTAAAAAAAAATCGTTATTTATTGACATAAAATTGAGATTATATTATGTGTTAAAACCATGGGTTTTTTGTTAAACCACCATGTTAAAACCACCATGTTAAAACCACCACCAAAAATTGTTTTTTTTTATTTAATAACTATTTAGAAGTTTTAAAATAACTATTTAGAAGTTTGCCAAAAATTACCTACATAACCTAAAAATTATTTAAAACATTGTATTTTTCCTCAGCTCAATTTTGTTTAAAAAGATCAGAGCGTATTTGGGCATAAAAATATTTAAATGATAATCACCACTCGATTAAAGGGGTGAAACTACCCCACATTGTCACATTGAAATGAGGTTATGCGCTGAAATCGTATGCAAAAATATCAAAAAATGTTTTTTTTTCAAATTTTGAGCACTTTTCAGAACGAATATAAAATATCTAACCCTGCCATAAAAAAACTAGTTTAGAACTTTGCCAAAAATTAAGTAAATAACCGATATTTTTTTTAAATTCAAATATTTTCCTGAGCTCAATTATGATCTAAAAAATCTGAAAGAAACTAGAGGCATTTTGAGTATTAAAATTTATTTCAGATTTTTTAAAGCAAGGATCGCGCAGGATTTTTTTTTTCGAAAAAACACATTTTTGCGATAGGGGCCCCCAAGCTCCACCTAGAGAGCTAAAACTTTTGCTAAAGAGGTTTCTAAATATGTACTTTCAAAAGCCTAACCCCACATAAAATCCAGCCAAGTGCAGATTTTACCATGTTATCACGCTAGTCTTTGTAATAAGAGAAGAAGTGAAAAGTGAGTAATAATAAATCCACCACAACAACAGTTTATCAGGATTTATTATTAACAGATTAATAATAATGAAAAAATCGTAAATAATTTTGATGCGTTTCAATGACATCTGTATAAAAGAATCTAGTATAATACTTTAAACATTTTTTTGATACAATTTTTCTCTTTTTTTTTAAGATATAAAATTTTTCAGCGCCTCAGATAAACCGATGATCAAAATCGAAAAAAGAAAAAGAGAGTTACATAAATTTTTTTTATACAATTTATATGGATGGGGATTTCCGTTAATTTATACCATTCTGTTGGTTGTTTTTCATCTTATAGCCATTTTACCGGATGAAATACAAGTCAGTATGGGTAAAACCAGATGTGGCGTAGAAAAAGGTAAATATTATTTATAATGTATATTTAATTATAAATTGTGTTAACTACATACACTCAACGGAACGAAAAACGGAGCACTTGAATTTTTAGACGAAAAACTTAACATTTTAATTCTCTTTAAACTTTTATTATAATAACGTACACATAAACGAAGCAAACTGTTTTAAATAATTTCTAATAAAAATTAAACTTTTGAAGAAAGAACTGTTTCAGTAGATAACAATTTAAAAATTAAGGAAAAACCTAAGTAAATGTAACAAAATGACGTTCAATTTATGAAAACTTAAGTAAATCATGTGTCCTGACAAACTGTTTTTAATACTGAATGTTTCCTCCACGTGTTCGAATTATTGCTTGAATGATCCTTGGCATGCGTAAAATTACAAATGAGTTACAAATGTTATGTTAAGGAATAAGTTCCCATTCCTCTAAAAGGGCTTCTTGTAACTGATTTAAAGTTAACAAGACTTACGTATCCTTCGCCCAAACATGTTCGATTGTTCTATTACAGACATGTATTCTTCTTCTTAACGTGCCCTATCAAGTCCCCTTGACGTTGGCGATTAACATGGCGAAACTGTTTCTGTCTCGAGCTATTCGAAATAGTTGCTCAGCTTTCTTTATTCCTGTCCACTCCCTGATATTCTTCAACCAAGAAGCCTGCTTTCTACCAATTCCTCTGCGGCCTTCGATTTTACCCATCATAATAAGTTGAAGAATATTATATCAGTCTCCCCTTACTACGTGTCCAAAATAGGCCATCTTTCTACATTTGATGTTATCAAGCAGCTCGCGAGCAGCATTTGCTCTCTCAAGGACTGCCACATTTGTCAGCATAGCCGGTAATGGAATTTTTAGTATATGTCTGTGCAGCCACATTTCAAAGGCCTCCAGACGATTTATGGTAGATATTTTTAATGTCCATTCTTCGACACCGTATAAGAGGACTGAACAAATGTAGCATTTAACCATGCGCTTTCGAAGTTGAAGTTGCAAGTTATCATTACAGAAAAATGACCTCATTTTTAAAAATGTCGTGCGGGCTATCTCGATTCTACATTTTGTCTCTTGATCTGGATCTAGTTGTTCAGTAATATGGCAACCAAGATATTTAAAAGGCATTGTAATCCATTCATGTCATCACTTAAAATAACTGTATCGTCTGCATATCTGATTGTATTTATCAGAATTCCATTAACTTTCACGCCCCATTCCAAATTATGCAGCGCTTCTTTAAATATTCTATCTGAATATAAATTAAATAACAGTGGGGATAGTATACAACCCTGTCTAGCACCTCTTTGTATTTTACATATTTATACAATGTAATATAAAGTATACAGAAATGTATACTTTATTTAAAAAACTGTTGAGTAATTCTCGCACAGGGTATGTGTGTGCCTTTAGAGAAACTCCAGCCCACACCATAATTTGTTGCCGAGAGGGGGCATTTGGGCCTGTAGGGCCCATCGCCGGCTCTTCGGACTTCTTCCTGTTCCCGGAATTTGATCGGGTGTTGACCATCTTTGCTTGTCGCTGGTAAAATGTGTTAATACTGCTACTGGTATAAAATAACAGTTACCGTGACAAGTATCTGTTATAGCTAACAGTTCCAAGGAACAGTTACAAAATAGCAGATCAAAATAGAAAACAGAACAGGTAAAATAATCTAAGTATTCTTTGATTTACGAAAAAAAAAAATAACTTAGTAAATAAGGAAATAAAATGGTATATAAAAATACAATGCACAGAAAATGTTTCTAATTGTTTCTTGACTTACGGAAGAGACAACTTAGATGAAAAGTAAAATACACAAGAATAAAAGAACAGAAAAGTGCAGAAATATTCCTAAGTGTTTCTTGACTTACGGAAGAAACAACTTAAGACAGACATATAGATAAATGAAATATGTAAATATGAAACAATGTATGGAAATATTTCTAAGTGTTTCTTAGAACAGAAAACAAACAAGAGAATCAAATATAGTAAAATAAGAATACAAATATTTGTAAGTGTTTCTTGACTTACGGAAGAAACAACTTAGCATGAAATGGTAAAATAAAAGAGACAAATATATTAAGAAAATATCTTAGATAAATATCGGAAATAATAATGCAGTAATGATTATGAAAATATTTCTAAGTGTTCTTTTGACTTACCGGAAAAGAATGACTTAGGCACACAATAAAATTAACAAGTCAAATATCAGAGAAATATTTCTAAGAGTTCTTTGACTTACCGGAAAGAACTACTTAGACATAAAGTACAAAATCAAATTTATAAAATAGAAAAAAGTAAGGTAAATACTTATAAGTGTTCTTAACTTAGGGAAGAACAACTTAGATACAGCATACAAGAAAAATAAACAATCAAAATAATCAAATAAAATATCAAATAATCAGTATATGAACAAATATAAGTCAAAGTAATATTCTAACCTGAAAAGGTCTGAATATACAATAATAAAATACAAATGGTTATCAGGAAATAAGAAATAAAACAATAGCTTAGTCGGAACAATAATAGCACCGACTAGGTCTACAGAAGAAGAGGCAAGCTCGACTGACCGATGAGAGAAATTCCGTCTGCTTTTATATAAAACAAATCCTTTGTTTTACGTAGTAAAAGTGGAATTTCCCTACATCGAGTCAATTAGAAATTCGGATTTGCCCACACTTGGAATTTCCAAGTATTTCTCCGAATTTCTAAATGCGTCCGGCACGGCGGTCAGCTTCTGCTTGACACGCCTCCGGAGACAAATTAAGCCCCTTTGATAGCCTACCCTAGGATTGCAGGTACGTGCGAACGAAAAACGTGCCTTCAATTATTTACAGTAAAATGCAGCATGGTTTCTGGCAAACTGACGCCGCAAGTCGATGGCGTCTGAGAAGTTGTAAGCCGGTTGCAGGACTACAACTGCTTTAATTTGCTTCTTCAAGCTTTCGTCTAATTGTTCGTTCACTTACGTTAGTAATCCGGATGTACTGCAGTTGATTTCGGATTTGTAAAGCCGTGGCCCAACGATCTCGTAGCCTTTGTAAGAGGGTGAAGTGATGATCACGGGCACGAGTTCTTCGTTGAGGACCGGTTGAGGACACTAGACGATAGTCTAGTGTAAGCTGGGTTGCCAAGAAAAGTGTAAAAATACGGTGCAAGTAAAAATAGTACTGTTGGATATTTCATACGTTTGAGCAACATATCGCTCACTCCTTCCATCTTGAAGGAAGACATAATAGCACCCGCTGTTGCGGGATTTTCAACCATAATTCTTGAGATTATTTCAACGCAATTCAACTTTAAATCGTGTTTGACACTTGATTTGACTTGACAAATTTTCCACATCAACAAGAACAAAAGAATAACAATAAAATACTAATAGCTACTTTTGCACTTTTGCCCAAAAGTTTTATTAGAAATTACTTAAAACAGTTTGTTTTGTTTGTGTTTACGTTATTATAATAATGAAAGTTTATAGAGAATTAAACTTTTAAGTTTTCATTTTAAAAATGCAAGTGCTCCGTTTTTCGTGCCGGTAAGTGTAGATTGTAGTCTTCGGTAGAACTGTCGATTTACTTTATGGATAAAAGTCTGGCCGTTAACTCAATGAACATATCAACGTGTCTACGAGGACCTGTTGATAACAACAGTTGCTACCAACATGTCCTCGTAGACACTTTGTTTTAGGACCAGCAACCACCTAGAGTCTTACGTTGCCATTTTATTAATTCCACTGGTAACTTTAACATCTCAAGATATAAGATCAAATAATGTAACATAAATTTAAATTTATAACATTTAACGGGTTTTTACCCAAATATTTTAGTGGCTTAAAACATGACCCACTGATGAAGGAATATAGATTCCGAAAACGTTTTATGATTGTAATATAGCTCGATTGGGTGTTTTAATTATAATAACCTTTAAAAAGAATTTTAAATAAAAAAAATTGTGATACTTTGTGTATAGCCAGCTACAGGAACTTAGCTTCCTTGTGGATTATTTGTCAAATGCTGTTGTACGATCCACAAATCATAAGAAAGTGGCTATGTTAAATTATATGGATGTCTTTACAATAATATTTTATGAGTTAATACGATTGTTTATACAAGGAAACGTGGAAGGAGAGAGGGGACCAGGGAGACGACGCACGTCCTAATTGAAAAATTTAAACTAGTGTTTAATGCTTAATTGTTACGTGTTCTCTACGCTTGTTTATGGCGTGGAGGCGTGATAGTGGAAAAAAAAATTGAGTACAGAGAACATATGATAAGAGAGCTCATTATGCAAAGCATTACTCAAAAAAAAAACGAAATGTAGGAAGAAAATCCTGGCTTAATAAAGAATTATTTTGAAAATCGTCAGAATCGCTGTAAGAAAAAGCCGCATGGCCGTGATGATTTTTAAATTTTGATAGAAGAGAGAATGAGTTTGAAGAAGAAGAAGAAGAATCGAAGTAATTTTGAGTACGGTAATAAGAAGTGCAGACCCAGTACTGCTAATTGAAGATATACGCAACTTGGACATTAGAGCGATGCATGTCAATAGACAAAGGAATATGAATTTGCATATTCCTTTTTATTTTTTTCGATGAAGTCATATTTGCTCTTCTCAATAATATGCTAGACTTGCTTGGGACACAATTTCTTCAGAGTACACTAGAAAGTTGGTTAAATTGACGCCTAGATAACAGGCTTTAATTGATAATGAAGGAGGATTTACAAAATATTAATTAGCAATGATTTTTCAATGAGTCAAGTTTGTTTTCTTTAATAATTGTCTTATTTTAAAGTTTGCATCATTTTAGCTGTGACATCAAAATCGTACACAAAACAACTAAATATTTTGAGATGCTACTCTGCCTGCCATAAACGAGCAAGTAAAATTTCCTGCACCCAAATCGCAAAATACTAATTCTCGATCTTTTTCGCGATGTTTTCGATAGTTATATTCATAACATCTATGCATTCCAAGCCTTCCTGCATACTGTTGAAGTTTCCAATAATCAAAAATTCCCATCACTACTGATATTCTAAACTTAGAGTTACACAACGAGCCATGGAACGTGCAATGCTGAACGTCAGCCTTCGAGACCACATAACAAACCAACAAATCAGGCAAAGATCAGGAGTTCAAGACGTCATCAAAAGAAAAACGACGCTTAAGTGGAACTGGGCAGGGCACTTAGCCAGAATACAAAATGGACGGTGGACAAGACGTATTATGGAATGGAGGCCCGGAAATTATAAAAGAAGCCGAGGACGACCACCGACTAGATGGACCGATGACATTAAACGTGTAGCGGGAAACTGGCTACAAGCGGCCCAGTGTAGAGAACACTGGAAAGAACTGAGGGAGGCCTATGTCCAGCAGTGGACGCGATTGGCTGATTGATGATGATGACTGATATTCTACGGTGTCGTGCAACGTCTAGTCCACATGACATTAATCGAAAACCAAGTCTTTTTCCTCTGTATTCAGGTTTAATACAGAGTAGATAATATCTTAAATAAAAAACACAATTAAATTTTTTATAAACATCCACTTTTCTGTTGATTTTATTCATGAATTTTGTGATGCTAGTGTAAGGTTTTCCCTGAATAATTGTAACTCTGCTGAAAACTCTTCCAAAATCTGACTTTTTACAAGCTTTAATTATTAAAATACCAGCAATTTCATCATCTTTCGTTACTGCTATAATAGAGCTTCTATCCATCACTGACACAATTAACTAAATATTTATTGTTATTTAAGTATGGTATATTGGAAATCCGAGTCACCAAGGAGCAAGCGACGAAGTTGGCAAGCAACAAGAAGAATTGGAGGAAGTTTGTACATAAAAACTAAAAGAGACTTTACACCCAACACCTTAGGGTAGAAGGGTTATTGATTATATATATATATATATATATATATATATATATATATATATATATATATATATATATATATATATATATATATATATATATATATATATTGGAGATCCAAAAAGTAGCTTATGCTATTTTAGAAGAATTATAGTAATTTAATTTTAGTATGAATATTTTTTTTCTAATAAATATTGAGACAAGCCAGTTTTATTAAGTAGCGACTGCATCATTAAAGCTGTGAGCTACTGTATATATTTGATAAGAGTTTTCCCTTCCAACTGTTAAATATTTTGAAAATATGCATAAAGAAATTGCTTTAAAGAAATAAAGATAAAGTTTTTCGCATTATACTTTTCTCAAGGTATAAGTTTACTCGAGTACTAGTTAAAACAGTTTAATTATTATAAAAATTAGATCGCTGATAAAAAAAACCTTCCACAAATCTTCAATCACCATCCATATCTAAAAATAAAACGAAACCGCTTAGAATAAACATTCTGACTTAAAATTTTTAAAGAAATTTTTTGCTGGTATCTCATATATTATTAAGAACCTGGTATCAGATTAATTTAATTAAATTTAATAGGGCTATATCTTAGAAGATAATGAAAAATTTAGAAAGTCCTCAAGCAAAAGGATTTTGTTACAAATTTAATTTTGGGCGATGATATCGGAACAAGAGACCTTTATATATTAATATTCGTAAAGGGTAAAATTTTTGTGTTTCCAAATTAATATTCTGCTAAAATGAGTATTCATCACGGGTAATTAAAACGTGTAAATGTGTAGGTGAAACACAATATAATTAATTAAAAAAATATATGGAAGGGAGGATACTATTACGAAGTTGGCAAACATTGAAATGTATGTAAAATTATACAATCACTATAGATTAAAAGAGACAATATCATTTAGATAGATTTAGTCCATATAGAAAAGTAATAAAAAAGAATTAAAAATCTAAAATGTTATAGAAGTTATCGAAATGTCCCGATATGTCTCGTTAGGCTTGGATCGTCAGAAAATGTATATTAACATTGTTAATACGTTAACAGTTGAAATAGTAGTAAATACAGAAAGATTATGAGGCACAGCAATCCTATTAAAGAAAGGAATCAGATACATCAGAATCCTAACCACACAGCTTAACAACATGGAAACTAAAATAATTAGAGTACAAATGAGGCAAGGAGAATTCAGTATTACCTCCGTCTACGTAAGACCTCAGGATCCACTGATCTATGAGGACCTGAACGCGTTCTTAAACATAGACGAACTCTCAATCATAATAGGAGACCTAAATGTAAGATCCCCAAATTAGAATGACAGAGCTACGAACAGAAACGGAAGATTGTTAAACCACTGTATAGAGAACAACGACACATACTACCCAGAAAACGAACTTTATACCCACATTAATATTGTAATTACTGGAAACCTAAGACTCCAAACAGAAATCCTAATACTAAATAAAAAAAACGGCCCAACCCCATAATATTGGAACTAGGAACATGGGAATACGAAAGTACCATAAAAAGGATTAAAAGGAAAACAAAGCGGTCCAACTTCAAGAGACTAGTAAGCACTGGTATAAACAACGTTGCTGTGGTAAAAAAGAGACAATATATAGATGATACTAGAGCTTAAGAACATCATACAACAAGCACTCAGGAATACAACTACAGAAGAAGAGGTAGATATACACATGGGAAGATTTAATAACATACCCCAGGAAATAAAGGACATGATAAGAAAAAAAAACAGCCAAGCACACAGCGAGAAGGACAAGGAACCAGGTAACAAAACAAGGCCCAAATATGCAAAAAATTGGCAGGCTCCTAAGATTTGTCAAAAAGGATAGAAGACCAATCCCACCTACACACAAAGAAAATGGAATTGTCTACTCTACTAAAGAAAAAGACGAGGTTATGAGAACTACTCTAGAGAAAATCTACATTAAATTATCACCCAAATAAAGACATTGACATCATCGAATTAGTCGAAGAGTAAAAAAAGTCTCAAGGATCCAAACGAAATGATTCCTTTAACATCAATGGAGGAGATAAATAAAATAATTAAAAACAGTTTGCAGAAGAAACCATCTGGACCAGATCAAATAACAAATAGGGCTCTAAAATACTTACCGGCGAGAGCCATAGTATTTCTAACGATTATAATCAACGCGATGCTAATATATAGGTAATTTCCAAATCGATGAAAGGAGGCCCATGTCATTATGATACCAAAGTCAGGAAAATACAGTACATTATCGCAAAATTACAGGCCAACAAGCTTACTTCCAGAAATCAGCAAGATTCTGGAGAGAGTCATCCTAAGCAGATTTTAAGTCGAAACAGATATACTGGAAATAATCTCAGAGGCGTAGTTTAAATTGGATAAAAGTACTCCAGCGAGCTACAAGTACTCCGAATAACATAGTACATAGCTGATGAATTCAACAAAAGGCAGTATAAAGGACCAGCCTTCCTGGACGTAAGTAAAGCTTTCGACAGAGTTTGGCGTAAAGGGTTAATCTACAAAATGAGAGGATACGGATACATTGGAGCAATGGCGAGGCTCTTCTCTTCGTACTAGGGCAACCGGACCTTCAGAGTTCGTATAGGAGAAGTTTTGTCCGAGCTCGGACGTCCGGAGGTTGAAGTGCCATAGGAAGCGGTCCTGTTACATCTACTATACACAATATACACCGCTGACGTTCCAAGAACACCAGTAACTCCACTTAGCCTTTATGCCGACAACACAGCGATAGCGGCCACACACCGAAATGTAGACATAGCAGTAAACAATCTGCAAACGTTAGACGGCATAGAAGAGTGGAGTATAAAATGGAAAATCGCCTTAAACTCCGAAACAACGCAAGCAGTACAGTTTTAAAAGAGAGATCAAGAGCTAGAGGAACAATTATGAGGGAACAACCCCATCGAGTGGAAAAACAAGTCAAAATACCTAGGAGTCACCATGGACAAAGGATTAACTTTCAAAAAGCACGTAGACTCACAACAAAAAAAGTCAACATGGCAAAAGCGTCAATATACACTAATAAGATTTTTTCAGACATCCTACAAAAAAACCAACACTACAAAAGGCTTAGAATACCAAGAAAATTATAAAAATATCAACAAAAACTGTCCCAAGCCAACAAAATAAATTAACAAAATCAAAAAACCCGGGCACTGTAGGGAGAACTGATAAGAACAAAATGTTTTGACTTCGAAACTATCTATTTCGAGTATAATAAAATTCATTGTAAGATTAGAAAACAGGAAATATAAATTTTTTCTTTTTTCAGACAACTACGCCGATATATTGTTCAGAAGCATACCATTGACGTTTGTGCAAATAGTAAATGTGATTTTATTCGTTAAGACAGTCGTATATGTTTTGCAAGTAAAAAGGGAAATCCAGAGAATGGTTGAAACTCCGGCAACATTAAAGAAAAAAAGAAAATTTATAAAACGAAAAGAAAGGTAAATATTTGAATATATAGCTTATACTAACTTATACAAGTTTTTTTTATTTTCGTATCTAAGATGCGTATTCAGGTCGTTAAAGTCCAAATTTGACATTTGACAGTCACTGAGTAAAACTGAAACTAATAAGAGTAAGGAAATATATGGTCTGGATGATTTTTGCTGTAAATTATAATTTCGTCTTTTTATTAATAATTTACAAAAAGTATGTTACAAATTGTTTTAAGATAAGACTTCTGTGTTGTTATAAAACTCTTCCAATTATCATCATCATAAGTATCTCGACAATCCGTTGTGGATATTGGCCTGCTCACGAAGTAGTCGCCACTCCTGTCGATTGCTGGCAACTTTCCTTCATCATCTGACCCTTAGAATCTGTAGGTCTTCTTCAACATCATCAATCCATCTCCTTCGTGGCCGTTCTCTACTTCTTGTGCCCTCTATTTTTGAAAATGTTAATCTCTTCGTGTATTAGTGATCTGAAATTTTAGCAATGTGTCCAGCCTATCTAAGTCTCTGCACTTTAACGAATTTCACAATATCTGGATCAGTCTATAAGTGATATAGTTCAAAATTGTATCTTCGACGCCAGATGGCCCATTTTCATTTACGGCCTCAAAAATCTTTCTAAGATTTTTTCTCTGAAAAATACCAGGAAGTCTTTTATCATTTTGAGATAAGGTCCACGTTTCTGCTCCATAAATCAGAACCGGTCTTATTAGGGTTTTGTATATATTGAGCTTTACTCTCAGCAGTAATATCCTTTGTAAAATGTTTAAATCTTTTAAACAATACATTGCCGTAGATTTTATACGCAGATGCTAGCAGAGTAATGCCTCCATAGTTCTTACACTCCAGTTGATAACCCTTTTTATGCAAATAACATAGTTCCTAGGATACATAATGCGCCATAAGGAATTTGAGCAGCTCCAGGTAATATTAGAAGGCAAAATCGAGGATAAAAGGGGTATAGGAAGAAAGAAGAAATCCTGGCTCCGAAACATCAGACATTGGACTCACACAACAGGAAATGACTTAATCCATCAAGCCCAGAACAGAGAGAAATTTGCCATATTGATCGCCAACCTCAATAGAGAAGGCACTTAGGAGGAGGAACATAGTTCCTTTAGCCACAAAACTTGATAGCTTCTTCTGGTACAAATTTATTGTGCTATATTAGTAATATTCCTGCGGCTTTATTGTCTTTGAGTTTTAGGATGGCATTCAACACTTTTCTTGTTGGGTCTTCACTATGTAGTTGACGTTGTAGATTTTGTTGATTGTCTATATTGTAACGTCCTTCAATATAGTTTATATTTAGATGTTCTCTGAAATGTTATGCCCATCTGTTAAGAACTGAGTTTTTATCGTGTAGAATTTCACGGTTAAATGTGGTTTAAATTATCAACGGCTCAACAGCTCCTTTTTTAAATTAGAGATTCTCTTTTTAAATCGTGCTTAAACCAAATAGTGTTAGTAGTGTCATTATCTATGTTTGCTCCTCTAAAAGACAGCTAACAAGTTAGAGCAGTGTCTTGCATCGATTATTATATGACCTATTTGGTTAATCGTTTTATTATCAGGAGACTTCCAACTTTATTGTGCTAAATACTAAATGTGTGTGAGTACTAAATTCTGTACGAAAATATGGCATATTCTACACTTCTATTACATTTTTATTTTTAATTGTTAAATTGGAAATAGTATACTTAACCTTTCGGCCTCCAGGCTTCTGACCTAAAGGCTAAGAAGAATTAAAAGGGTTTTCTTCATCAAAATGTGAAAAAGTATATTACTTTTCACGCAGGCAATTTGATCAAGTAATTAAAGCGAAGACGAAACTGGGACGTTTCAATTTCCACTTCGGAAATCGTCCTCAAAATACAAACAGTAAATTAAACAAATTTTGTTTTTTGTTACATAGTGAAAAAATCTTGTAATAATTTAATTTTATTTGACTCATTTAGGTATATTGACAATTTAGACATACATTATGCATTTTAAAGTAGACGACTTTAAAATGATATTGCCAATATTGTTGAGTTGCGCTCCTGGGACGACTTTACTTATAAGATAGTTCATTCGATTACATGAAATCAACTTTAACTTGAGAATATCTGTCAGAAAAAAATCATAGCATGTAATTCGTCTTTAAAAAGACAAACACATGACATGATGACAGGAAAATTCTCCTGTTAGTGATTCCATAGTAAATTATGAGGGAAAAACCAGGAAAAAAACCTCATAATACTATCCCGACATGGTATTTGTTCGTGCATTTAGTTTACCTTCAATAAACACCAAAATTCTGATTTTACATGTTTCGTTATTTAAAAAACATAAATGATGTATCCTATATATGTTACTGACTTACTAATACTGGTATTTTCTTATTAATAACTTCCTCTTTCAATATTGGTAACCAGATCCTACTACATTCTGCCGAGGAATTTGCGGCACAATTGGCCTCATTTAGCATAATAAGAGCCGCTTCTTTGATTTTTATTTTTTTACCATCCATTTTTTTTAGGACTACATTTGAATTATTCCATTGAACCCTATGTTCATTATCTCATGCGTGTTTACATATTTGATATTTATTAAATTCTCTATTTTTAATATAAGATTGATGTTCACTTATTCTAACATTTAATGGCCTTAATGTTTCACCTAAATAAAACTGATCGCATTCACAAGGTATTTTATAAATGCAATTCTTTGTCTTTTCTTGTTCATTGTTAGGTTTGGTTTTGGAGAAAATAGATCCCAACGTGTTTGTTGTTTTGAATGTTGTTGAAATGTTGAATTTATTTCCTATCCTTTTGAGTTTTTGTGATAATCCTTTTATGTACGGTATTGTTATTTTCCTCGTATTATTCCTTGTGAATGCTGTAGGATCTCGTTCTAAGTTGTTCTGTTCTATTCGATCGATTTTTGAAAATTCCTTATTTATAAACAATAAACGATAATCATTTTTTAATAAAACAGATGTTAACAAATGTTTCTCCTCCCAGAACGAATTTTCGTTAAAACAAGTAATTTTGGCTCTATCGTATAAGGATTTAATTATTCCCTTTTTTACATTAATACTGTGATTTGATTTGAAATTTAAATATCTATTAGTGTGTGTTGGTTTTCTATCCACCTGAGTCTCATATCTAGTATCGTTCTTAGAGATTAAAACATCCAGGAAAGGTAGCGTGTTATTATATTCCTTTTCCATGGAAAATGTTATTGTCTCTTCTTTATGGAATATATCATTTAGGAATGTATCCAACAACTCTGATTCATGAGGCCATATTGAGAATACATCATCTACATACCTCCACCATACTGTGGGTTTTAAATTTTGTTTAGAAATGATATATTATTTATGATTTTTTTCTGACAGATATTCTCAAGTTAAAGTTGATTTTATGTAATCGAATGAACTATCTTAAGTAAAGTCGTCCCAGGAGCGCAACTCAACAATATTGGCAATATCATTTTAAAGTCGTCTACTTTAAAATGCATAATGTATGTCTGAATTGTCAATATAAATTAGTCAGATAAAATTAAATTATTAGAAGAATTTTTCACTATGTAACAAAAAACAAAATTTGTTTAATTTACTCTTTGTATTTTGAGAACGATTTCGGAAGTGGAAATTGAAACGTCAATAAACGTATTTTTATCTTTAATTGTGGCTTATTCCCAGTTAAATAGTAATTAATTTAAAATGCCACAAGAAAATAGCTTCAGAACAATATACAAATATTTCTTCATAGGCATTTGTTAACAAAAACCTACAGTTTATCTATACCTAAGGGTTTTTGTCACTTTTCCAGGTTTCGTCCCATACATATATAGGTAATGGATTTTATTTTGTTACGATCGTAGAAAAAATACTGATGACATTTATACATAACCTATCTTTGTTCACTTGTGAGCTTACGACACTCGCCTACGGCTCAGTCGTGAAAATTTCTCAAGCGTAAAAAAGACCTACATCATATACTTTTTGCAGAAATTTTCATTTCAATATTATTTTAAAAGGTAATTCCATTTTCATTATATGTTTATTACATAAACGTATGATATTTTTATTACATAAATCCAATTTTCAGAAGGTTGATTTTATATTTTATTATAAAAATGCTCAACTTAAGCTTTTTCCTTTAGCAAACATTACGTTTCTAAATTGCGAAGATATTTACTTTTACAACTTAAGCCATGTTGAAAATCCACCTTATATAATATTCTTATTTTATTAGTATTCTAGTATATCATAAAGCTGAGATTTTTAGATGAAATTGAACGAGATATATTTCCAATAATAAACGATTCTGCAATAAGCTACCTGTAACTAGTCTTTTACTGAAATTTATTTTCAAATATTACCTTCTGACATTTAACATCTGGTATTCCGAATATATTTTATGTCAGACTAGAAAAAGTAATAATTCAGTGACAGTATTTTGTATTTTCTTATTTAGATGGGAGAAACCAATAAATAACTAACAACTTTATCTATAAATTCATAATTTATAAAATTAATATTACACTCTGATGATAAACACTTGAGAGCACACTAAAAATTCAAAAAGCTATAAAAACTCAGACGGCTAAATTGACAAAAAAAAATAACCAAAAAATATTTGCCACATAAACTTAAACATGGCGGAATGTCATGCAAAAACACATATCAAGAGAAGAGGCTATGGAAGTGAAAAGTATTCGTAGTCTAGGCTGTGAGGCCGCTCCCGTTGGGAAAATGTTTCTGATTCGGTTTCTTCGCGGATTCCGGTTCAAAAATGTCCCCTTTAAACAAATCTGAAGGGTTCCGGGCGAAATTTTTGGGCAGAAATTGTTTAAACAATTTTTTTAAACAAAGTTCAAATATAATTTTTTTTTAATCTGGAAAACGTTTTTTTAGGTTTTTTAGGCCATTTTAAACAAAAAAAGTCTCTTGTCATTTTTCTCTAAAGTTAATAGTTTTCGAGTTATAAGCGATTTAAAGTCTGAAAAACGCGAAAATACGCATTTTTGAGGCTTGAAAACACATATGTAAATTATTATTTTTGAGGTTACCAAGTGTCTAAATTAAAGTTTAAACATTCAACTTCAAGATTGTAAAGAGTAATCGGGGCTTATTTTAATTTAGACCGTTGTTTTTTAATTGTTAAGTATGCGCGTACACTCGATTTTTCAGCCGCCGCGGCGCCGCGCGCTACCGTGTGCCTCTATCGTACCTATGCATAGTTTACATATACTTACAAATAATTATTATTTATTGAGTACATAGTTATTTATATCAATTGAGTTATAATATAAATTTCGTCTAAAGTCTAATAATAGTTACATAAAATAATTGTACAAAAGATTGTTAAATAACACACTAATATCACTCAGTAAAAGTATCTTTGTTTTCACAAAAATCTAAATCACATCCACATAATGGTACACAGTTGACATGATTTTTCTTGCAGTTGCAAGCATTAGTTTTGCAAGTCTTTTTGCATTTGCACGGTTTCCCAACCCACCACTATCAGACATATCCATATTGTGTAAAATCGAGAGTTTGATAGCGGGAATATATGGCATTTCGCCAAATATATGTTTTAGCGAAAGCTCTTAACAAGTGTTGGTAAAGTGCGTCAGAGGTACAAGGTATATTGGCTAGATTAAATTAAATTTTTCAGTCACACTGTCTTTTTGTCGAAGATCAGCATTTTGTATTGTTATGTAAAAATCTACTTTAGGTTTTTGCACTAACTTAATATTGTTGATGTTATTACAAAAAATACAAACTAAATTTTCTTCGGTAAGTTTTCATTTAAGAAGAGGTACAGAAAAAGACATTTTAAATCCATCCACAATTTTTTTAATAACACATTAATAATATAATACCCTTTTAATGGGCATTAAACAATAGTCTTCCTAATGATCGTTTAAGTAATAACAAATCAAGTATGAACGCGCGATTGTTAAACAGGTAAAAACTTGCATTTTTGCGATAGTATATTGTTTTTAAACACCGCGCAATTTAAAATTAAGTTTACTAATATTAATATTTACTGCATTGTATGATTTAAATAATAATTTAAAAATATTATTTACAATTGATATAAATAAATATATACTCAATAAATAATAATTATATTGTTCATATTTGGAAGAAACAAAAACTATATACGGTTATTACATTGCGATGATTGATTTATTTAATTAGCCCAATGACAATAATTAATACCTACATTAATGAATTATGGAAAAAACTATGTTAACCCTTTCAGTCACAACTTTTTTTGAGCTATGGGAAAATTCTCATATTTGGTATATAAAATAAACTATTTTTGTTGATAATTTTAACATCATTTTTTTTTGATATGTCATATGTCACTCGGCATATGACATGTCCATGTTGATGGATATTATGACTTAAAGAAAAATAAAATAAACCTGAAGATTTTAGAAATTTATTTGAATATTATTAGAATGATGAAATAAACAATATTCGTTGTAAATAACGAATTAATCATTTTACATGAAATTAAAAAAAACAGTTACGACCGCTTACAAAACATAAGTGAACATTACATTTAACGCAAAATGTATGTAATTTTCCCTTACAGTTCTCCATTTTGCAACGTGTACTATCTTTTTTTCATCTATTTTCGGAAAATGTTCATAGCTGTCGAACCGTAATTCAATATATGGCCTTGTTTCAGTTTTGGTTTTTTTTTATTTGGTGTACCAGTATTTTCTTGACCAGATGGTCTGCCTCTCTTTGGTGGAACCTTATGTAAAATGAGGTGTTGCCCAATACTCATTCTAAAGTCCCACAAATCCAGGATTTTATTGTGTTGTACGCCTAGCAGTTCAGCCTGTTTTCTATATTCCAACCAGGAATTTACTATCGCCATATCTATAGCATGTGTTATCATACGTACAGTCCATTTTCTGGATCGTCTGTAGGATCTGTAAACGCTCAATAAGAAATCTAACTTATCAACACCACCCATGTTGGAATTGTAAAGCGATATGGCTTCCGGTCTAGATACATTTATATACTTTTTCGACGTCTTATCTCATCTCTGGCACAAATCCATTTTTCCCGCTGCAACAAAATTTGAAGCCACTAAAACTGGTTTATTGTCGAACCATTTTGTAATCACAATTCCATCTTCACTAACCGCTACATCAAAACTACCTCTACCTCTTTTTTTTAGATCTTTATCAGATGTTAGTTCTGGTCCAAAAAATCGGTTTATTCTAATTGTTCCGATAGCCATAATAGATTTATTGTTCAACCATTAAAAGAGGTGATAAGAACTAAAGAAATTATCAAAGTACAAACCGTGAAAAGTTTCTTCAATTCTCTCAACTAGCTGCATCACAGTTCCAGCTCCTTGTCCAAACTGTGCATAATTTTCTTTTATTTTCGTTTCAGCACCTTGATATATGTAGTGCTAGGTAGTGCTTGACATTGATCTGTCCCTTGAATGGAACAATTTGTCAATGTACAAATTTGTTTCGGTTTGAAGTTCCCTACAACGATTTCTAATGGAATTATATATTTCTCGGACTTTCCACATGCGATCTGTTTCGTCACCTCTTTCTGTTACATCTACTAAGTGAATGGTATTGCGCAACTTAGAGAAGCGATTGAATGTCATATTATCTTTTACAATTGAAATACCTGTAAGCTGGGACCAATACAATCTTGCTCTTGGGAATTTTAGATTTCCCATAATAATGTGAATGCCTACACATCGCTTTATTTCTTCTTTATCTGATGGAGAAAACCGAGTAATATTTTTTTGTATGGCATATAAGTTAGTCATTTCTGAAATCTTCTCAAACAGAGTCTGTATTTCATAAAATATTCAATAGGAGCAGGTAATTCATCAACTTGTACTTCTTCTGGAACAAACCACTGTACTGGCCTGGTAAGATAGGTAATATTTTTTTTCCAACAAACATCTTTCTTATTTGTAAGTTTGAACTCTTTACAAAACTCTAGCAGTCTCTCCTTTGCAGTTGTTTGTTTTTCAGTGGTTTGGTTGGAATTTTCTTTGGTTTTCATGTCCTCAGACATTGGTTGTTCTGTAGTCACTTCATTGGGATATTCTAGATTTTCTAACTCACCTCTTTCTGTTGACTTCTGTTCTTGGATCAATCCGTCAAAAATAGTTTCCTCAATATCTTGGATATTATCGCCAAATTCTGAGGAAACGTCATTTAGATCCGCAATACTGTTGGCGTCATCAGCATCTGACAAACGTAATATTTCTGAGTCATCGTCTTTCATGAGTAAATCCAGAAGTTCATCCTCGGTCAAGGGTCGTGACCATCTCTTTTCTTTATTAGTTGACGGTAAACTTTCCATTTTATGGATATCTAAAACAACACGACCTTGCTAATTTTTATATGCATAAGTATACCTAAGTCATTTTGTCCATCTACATGGACATATAAATATACACCACTTTATAAGATATTTTCAGTCAACAGTTTGATACATAATATAAACACACTATACTAATGCTCTTTACTTACCCAAATCAGCAGGTATTTGTACCAAAAAAACAAGTTTATTCAATAGAAATCGTTCCAATAACAAAACAGATGTTTTCACCACCACGACAGCGTGCTAAATGCAACCAGTTTTGCGTTTTATATAGCTCCACAAATCGACTAACAGATGTTATCAATGAATTCAATGCTTTTCTTATGCATGTACCCACACATGGACAAAATGATTTCGGCGATAATAACCATCGATGTTTTAAGAAAATGCTTTAAAAATCGATGCCCATCAGTGTGGACACGATGACCGAAAGGGTTAATAAACTTCAAGGATTTGTTCAGGTTTTTTTGCGTAAGTGTATATGTAAACTATGCATAAGTACGATAGAAGCGCACTCTAGCGCGCCGCGCCGCGGCGGCTGAAAAATCGAATGTACGCGCATATTTAATAATTTAAAAACAACGGTCTAAATTAAAATTAGCTTCGATTATTCTTCACAATCTTGAAGTTGAATGTTTAAACTTCAATTTAGACACTTGGTAACCACAAAAATAATAATTTACATATGTGTTTTCAAGCCTCAAAAATGCATATTTTCGCGTTTTTTAGACTTTAAATCGCTTATAACTCGAAAACTATTAACTTTAGAGAAAAACGACAGGAGACCTTTTTTGTTTAAAATGACCCAAAAAACCTAAAAAAAATATTTTCCAGATTAAAAAAAATATTTTTGGAATTAAAAAAAAAATTGTTTAATTTCTGCCCCAAAATTTCGCCCGGCACCCTTCAGATTTGTTTAAAGGGGAGATTTTTGAACCGGAATCCGCGAAGAAACCAAATCAGAAACATTTTCACAACGGGAGCGGCCTCACAGCCTGGACTATCGTAGTAGTACCCAGTTCGAACAAAAAAATTTGGCTTAAATAGAAAATTACTCAGTCATGCACACTTTTTTGGTGCTTCAGTTTATGGAAGAAAAATCTTTTTCAGTATTAAGTATTTTAAGCAAATTATTTATTTAAGTAATAAACGCTTTATTAAAATATTGTTTTTTTTTTAGATTTGGTCTTGTAGTCAGACTATTATTTACGATGGGAGTTTTTTACCTATTTGAAGTGGTATCTTCTTTTTTTGATTTTAACGATTATGATATTACATCCACTATAGAAATTATTTGGGACTTTATAAACTGTCTGCAAGGTGAGGAATTTTATCATAAGTTTTTACCAAAAAATTAATATTTTTTTGTTTAGTATATAGGGTAGTTGGGGGCAAAACACGCAGTTTCATTATCTCCTGTCGTCTTCAGAAATTATAAAAGTTTAGAAATTTTCCAGTGTTATTACGCGAGAGCATACATATTGTTTTTTCATTTTAAGTATCGACAGTAGTTTTATAAGTTCACTAATAAATGAAAAAAAAAAAGTTTTTAAAAAATTCTCATTTGCGTACTCTTGCCCCTACAAATTGGGCAGTATTACGCAAGTGCGTATTTTTGCCTCAAAACTAAAATGTATAAAACCTCAAATAAAAGAGATGGTAATCATTTAAAAGAAACTAATCTTTATTGAAAAAAAAACCAAACGTGAAATACAAAATGTTAATCTAAAAGAGAACTGTATTTGACGAGGTCGTCAAAAAATCCTACTGAATCTAAAAATCTGAGAGAGATGGTTTTTGTTGGCTTTGAAAGCTTTAAAACAATATTGTCCTTTCGAAAAAAGGCATCTTCCGTTGTCTGATGAAAACGAAAAGTTGTGGAAAATCGCTTAAAAAATACGCCTTCATAATCATCATCATTTACTTGGCAGACTTTGGTAAAATATTTGGTACAACATCAATGTCTTTCTCTTCATTGTTATCGGAAAAATGAATGTCACAAGAATCAATACTTTTTTGATGGGAGAGTGCTAGTGTTTCATCAGAGATTTAGCACTTTGAGATTTGATCTTTTGATTGTTTAGTAATGCTTTCCTCTCCTTCTCTTTCTCTGCTTCCTTCTTTTCTTCGTGTTCTTCTAAAAGACGCTCCTTATTAGTTGTCGATGTAAGTAGGGTTGACTTTAAACTTTTCCTGGTTCGTTTCCTCTTTATCTTAATTTTGGGAAGGGAATAATGTCTGAAGGTGAAATTACTGACTGTTCTGATTTTGATGACGGCTGGGGCTCTTTCATGTCAGCAACAGTTTCTTTTTCAATATTTGAAGGACCAGGTATAGAAATTCTGACTTCCGATTTTGATAAAAGCTGGGGCTCTATCGCATCAGTAACAAGTTCTTCTTCTTCTTGCTGAAACTGAATAAAAACATTACCTTCATCGTCTAAATCTTCACCTAAATCTTGCTCTGTTACTTCCGCTGGCATAAAATCTACTTCCGAAAAAATATTTTTATCTAGTGGATAGATTCCTGTAGACCGAAAGCCCTCTTTTGCTATACTACAGTAGCAGTTTTTGCAAATGCTATGGAAAAAATAGACCAGCCACATGGTAAATGGAGAGAACCTGTCCTGGATGGGAACTGGTTCAGCTGTCAGCGACGCTCTCATAATAAGCTTTTAATGGTTTAAAAAATGCCCGATCGAGTGGCTGAGTCTTATGGCTGCTATGTAGTGGCAGACTTAATAAATGGATGAAATTATCTTTTGCAAAATTTACTGCTTGAAGACTTGTGTCCGATACATGATTATCTGTAATCAGGAGAAAGGGGTTCTCTTTTGTTAAGCTTATATGTTTTTTAAAATGCTCCAGGTATTTGATAAACGTGGGAGTGTTCATGTAACCACTGCCATGTTCAGTAACAGCCATGTTGACGGAAGTGGGCCCGTCTATGATTAGAAGAAGCTTCATCCGTTTTTGAGCGAATAAGAAAAATGGAGGAACAAAGTGACTAGTTGCACTCATAAAGAAAACAGCCGTAATTGTTTGTCCTTGCTCGGCAGCTGAAGAAGCTGAGCTGTTTTCACTTGAAGATCCTTTTTGTGTGAGGGATCATTCCATTCTGGGATTGGTTTTACAGTTTTTGATGTGACTTCGCTGTTTCCACCACTTTTCTTTATTTTTCTCTCTCTTTGATTGTTGTTTCTATATTTCTTATTTCCATACTCCTCCGTCTTCTTTCACTTGTGGTCTCCATCTCAGTTTAGATTTGCCTCTGTTTTTTTTTCTGGTGGTATCCATTTCGTTATATCTTTTAACGGATTGCTCTTGTCTCTTCTCATTGTGAGTCTATACCATCTAATTATTTGTGCTTTTATTTCTCTATCTATATTCTCTTGACCCAGCCCTTCTTGTGTTTCGTGATTCATCCATTGTCTTGCATTTTCTTCTTTTTGCCTGTTTGGTCCCGGTATTTTTCTGATAATCATTCTCTCAAAAGCTTTCAATTGGTCTTCTTTTCTTGCTGTTAATGTAAATGTTTCTGCAACCTATACTACTATTGATCTTATGGTCGTTTTTTAGATTTTCATTTTTGTGTTTCGGCTTATCTTTTTACCTCTAAACATTTTTTTATTTCTAATAAAGTGTGCACTTGCCGCTTGAATTCTTCTTTTCATATCTACACTTTCATTTCTTCTGTTGACTAGTACTCCCAAATATTTGACTGTTTTAACCTCTTCGAAACCGTGTGCATCTATTGTCAGTTCCATCATTTGTGTCTTCTTTTTCTTGCTTACGTTCATGTATTTTGTTTTATTTTCATTTATTTTCGCTTCGTTTTCAACTAATTATGATGGGTAAAATCGAAAGACACAGATAAGAAGTAAAAAAACAAGCCTCGTAGTTGAAGAATATCAGAGAAGGGGGTGGAATACGCAGAGTCGAACAAATATTCAAAACAGCTCAAGACAGAAAGTCTTGCTAGGCTAATCTTCAAGGTCAAGGTGACTTGATAAGGCACGTTAAGAAGGACTGGGATGGTAACTACATCAGATAATACAATCGGCTCATATTTTTTAGTCATCTCTTTCTTAAAGTTACATCGCTCGCATAATTTAGAATAACATCGAGAATATGATGTTTTTTCTGTGTAAATAATATGGATGAGTTAAATTACCGAAAAAATTATTTTCGGTAATTTCCGTACAAGGAATTCCACTTTTTACGCGTTATTAAAAATTAAAGAAATATTGAATTTGATAACACGTTAAAAAAGTTAGTCTTTCAAAACACCTTTCTGCTAAATTACTTTCCTAAATAACAAGAAAGTAAGTTAATATATGTTTTCTCAAAAGTTTAAATTACGTTTATAAATTTGTATTGGAGCTTTCTCGGTTACATGTAGTTACCTTCGATTTACCGCTCCCACACATATACGAAAACTTTGTCTTTCCCGATTATCTACCCACGTAATTTTACTTCGATATAATAAAATACTCCCTCTGGAATATTTGTTCATGTTTAGAAATACCGCTGAATCCTTTATATTGTTTCTGCGTGTCATTTTGATTAATTTTCGAGTGTCTCTATTTTTTGTCAAAGTTTTCGACTAATTTTTGGTTGCTGCTAGTATCGCATTAATTGAATATGACTTTTTGAACTACTAAGCAACTTTTTAAAACAAAATTTTGTGAATAATATGTTTTTATCATCTTTAGCTAATTTTGCTACTTTATGAGAAGTTTTTCTTTTCCCCATTTGTCATTTTAACTTGAGGGCACTGCTTCTGTGTTTCGTTACATTAATTTATTTTCCACTCTTTACTACTCTCCCAGGTTTTTTTTATAGTTTAATTAAATTTTACAAGCATCCTATTCCTTAAAATCTACCTATAATTTCTATACCGTGCGTGTATTTTTTCATAATATTTCGATACTTAACCTGATAGATTCAGCAGTTTTGTATGAACATACTTGGCCTAGTAATGAGGAGATATGCAATACAACCTTCTTCTTCTTCTTTTGTTTTGGATCTTACCCAGTCGTTCCTCGTTTTATCTGACAGTCGTATACCTAATATTGCTCTTTCCATTGTTCTTTCTGTTGTGGCTAGTTTATTCATGTTTGCCTTGGTTAGGGTCTAGGTTTGACATCCATATGTCATGATAGGAAGGATGCATTGGTTGAACACTTTGCTTCTCAAGTATTGGGGTATTTTCGGTTCTTAAGTATCCAACTAAGTTTTCCAAATCCTGCCAATGCTAGTCTTGCTCTTCTAGTAATTTCCGCACTTTGGTTCTCTTTGTCAAGTCTCAGGATTTGGCCTAGGTAGATATATTCCTAGATTTGTTCTATCTAACTGCCGTTTATAGTTATATGTCTGGGGTCTTCTGTGTTTGTCATTATTTTTGTTTTTTTCATATTCATATTTAGGCCGACGTATTGGGAGCTGGCTGCTAGTTCCTCCAACATTATTTGCAGTTCCTCGAATGTGCTCGCTATAATCACTATGTCGTCAGCGAATCTGAGGTGTTTTAACTTGTTGCCATTAACGTTAATGCCATAGGTTGACCAATTTGTCGTTTTGAAGACGTCTTCTAGGGCTAGGTTGAAAAGCTTTGGCGATATTACGTCTTCTTGTCTCACTCCTCTCTTAATGGGGATGGGATTTGTATTTTCGTCTAGTTGTACTATCATAGCTGCATTTTCATATATATTATGTATTAGTTGCCTATATCTCGAGTCTATTCTACAATTATTAATAGCTTGTTCTATGGCCCACATCTCGATACTATTAAACGACTTTTCATAGTCGACGAAGGCAAGAAATACGGGTAGTTGGTATTCATTTGCCTTCTCTATCAATGTTCTCATTGTCAGCAGATGGTCTGATGTACTATATCCTTTGCAGAAGCCAGCCTGTTCAACCGGTTGGTAATTGTCCATTTTGTAGGTCAACCGGTTGTTAATAATTCTCATAAATAGTTTGTATACTTGACTAAGCAACGATATAGGTCTATAATTCTGTAGATTTGTCCCCTTTTTTGTTTAAGGGTATTACTAGACTCTCATTCCAGTCTTTAGGGATCTGGCTATATAGATTGTTAATGTCTTGCTTGTTTTCAAGAGCTCGGCAATTATACCGTCGTGTCCTGGAGCTTTATTATTTTTTAGTTCTTTTAAAGCTCTTTCTATTTCGTATCCTTTATATTTGGTAGTACTTATGATCCCACGTTTTTATTTTTCTTTTGACGTTCTCCTTTGTTGTTTCATTAGGCTGGCATTATGAGCTGTACAAGGATGTGTAGAAGTCTTCGACAATATT